AACCTATAAATCCACCTAAGTGTTGCTTCCCTTTATATAAGTGTTCTTCCCTTGTGTATTTCATTGTTTATCCATGATGTATATATTACCTTCCCTTTCTGAGTTCACACTCTTCTTTGTTACGCATATTTTGTCTTTTCCATCACTTCATCCATCATATTTCTGACATACACTTTACCTGGTCTGGTCAACAGTCTTATTCCATTATAATTATTAAATTGTTTAAAGTTTTTTCCCCTTTTCTTCTTTTATAAACATTATGAACAAAATCGTTAACTATTCCAGTACTTTATTACAACTGACAGCTGTACCACGGAACTGTGCTCTTCGTTATTGTGAATTATTATGTAGTTCATAAAAATTTTCTTCTGAAATTTACTTTTCACTTTCATCTACACATACATCACTACAAACACACTACTACGAACACACATATATACATACATGTGTACACATACACATCACTGCAAACACACTACTACGAACATACATATATACATACATGTGTACACATACACATCACTACAAACACACTACTACGAACACACATATATACATACATGTGTACACATACACATCACTACAAACACACTACTACGAACACACATATATACATACATGTGTACACATACACATCACTACAAACACACTACTACGAACACACATATATACATACATGTGTGCATATACACATCACTACAAGCACACTACCACGAACACACATTATATACATACATGTATGCACATACACATCACTACAAGCACACTACCACGAACACACATATATACATACATGTGTGCACATACACATCACTACAAACACACTACTACGAACACACACATATATACATACATGTGTACACGTTCTCATAAACATATCTGCACTCTCCCACACGATTGTTTAAATTAATGAATTCTATATAAACAGTGTAAGAAAATTAAGAAAATTCTTGATCATATTATTTAAATTTTCTTAAGAAAATGGAATGAGAGTTGATGAAATATTTTGAAATAGTTTTCTCATACGCTCTTCTCTCACCTCTCCAATAATGACATAAAACATTCACCACAACAGATGGATAAAAAAAACTCGGTGATGAAAATAAAAACTATCAACCTGGATGATTCGATCTACTAACAATAAGAATTTTGGTGGTGGCTGCCACAACCTGGCCAGTACGACTGTGTGTTAATGTCTCCCATACTGTTATGTACTGTGATGTATCAATGTTAACATATATTACATATTGAATGTTGTGGTGCACTATGTTGCAGAGATATATGGCACATTGAATGTTGTGGTGCACTATGTTGCAGAGATATATGGTACAAACTCAGTAAACAATGAAAAAGTCAATACTGTAGAAAGGAACTATTGAATGAAGACCTTTGTTTCACAGGTGAAAGTTCCTCTCTGTTGTTAAGTGTTTTTTCACCACCATCGTTGTGTTGTGATGTTGTGATAGGACCTAGTATCGATCAGTGAAGAGGCTGGGCAGGAGCTGAGTCTCGACCCCTGCTACCACAATTAGGTGAACACACACACACACACACACACACACACACACACACACACACACACACAGATAAGGAGGGAGGCCCAGCGACAGTACGAAAACAGCATAGCGTCGAAAGTCAAGTCCTACCCGAAACTGCTGTATAGCAACATTAGGAGAAAGACGACAGTCAAAGATCAGGTAATCAGGCTGAGGAAAGAAGGTGGGGAGCTCACAAGAAATGATCAAGCGGTATGTGAGGAGCTCAACACAGGATTTAAGGAAGAATTTACAGTAAAACCAGGAAGGACTCTGAGAAGACAAAACAGGGGAGGACACCAAGAAGGGTTATACTAACAAGTGTTGGATGAAATACACACAAATGAGGAGGAGGTGAAGAAGCTGCTAAGTAGCCTTGATACCTCAAAGTCGGTGGGACCGGACATCTCTCCGTGGGTCTTTAGAGAGGGAGCAGAGACGCTGTACCATTAACCACAATTTTCAACACATCCCTTGAAACTGGACAACTGTCTGAGGTATGGAAGACGGCAAACATAGTCCCCCTTTTTAAGAAAGAAGACGGAAACGAGGCGCTAAACTATAGACCAGTGTCACTGACGTGTATAGTATGCAAAGTTACGGAGAAGATTATCGGGAGGAAAGTGTTGGAACACCTGGACCTGAACGAGATTATAAACGACAACCAGCACTGATTCATGGAAGGCAAATCCTGTGTCACAAACATTCTGGAGTTTCATGACAAAGTAACTGAAGTAAGACACGAGAGAGAGGGCTGGGTTGATTACATTTTTTTGGGCTGCAAGAAGGCCTTCGACACAGTTCCTCACAAGAGATTAGTGCAGAAGCTGGTGGATCAGGCACGTATAACAGGAATGGCACTGCAGTGGATCAGAGAATACCTGACAGGGAGGCAACAACGAGTCATGGTACGTGATAAGGTATCACAGAGGGTGCCTGTGACGAGCGGGGTCCCACAGGGGTCAGTCCTAGGAGCAGTACTATTTCTGGTATAGGTGAATGACATGACGGAAGTGTCCCTGTTCGCAGATGATGTGAAGTTAATAAGGAGAATTAAATCGGATGAGAATCAGGTAGGACTTCAAAGAGACCTGGACAGGTTGGACACGTGGTCCAGCAACTAGCTTCTCGAATGTAACCCCGCCAAATGCAAAGTCATGAAGATCGTGGAAGGGCAAAGAAGACCGCAGTCAGAGTACAGGCTAGGTGGCCAAAAACTGGAAACCTCGCTCAAGGAGAAAGATCTTGGGGTGAGTATAACACCGAGCACGTCTCCGGAAGCAGATAACTGCTGCAGCATATGGGCGTCTGGCAAACCTGAGAATAACATTCCGATACCTTAGTCAGGACCATACTGGAGTATGCAGCACTAGTTTGGAACCCACATCTGGTCAAACACGTCAAGAAATTAGAGAAAGTGCAAAAGGTTTGCAACAAGGGAAATCGTCCTGACCACACTTGAGGACAGGAGGTTTAGGGGAGATCTGATAACGACATACAAAATACTGCGTGGAATAGATAAAGTGGACAGAGACAGGCTGTTACAGAGAGGGGACCCATAAATAAGGGGTCTCAATTTGAAGTTGAAGACTCGGATGAATCAAAGGGATGTTAGGAAGTATTTCTTCAGTCATAGAGTTGTCACGAAGTAAAATACTGAGGTTAGTGGAGGCAGGAACCATACAAAGCTTTAAGACGAGGTTATGATAAAGCTCATGGAGCATGGAGAAGAGGAGCTAGTAGCGATCAGTGAGAGCGGGGCCAGGAGCTGAGTCTCGACCCTGCAACCACAATTCATTGGTACACACACAAACACCTGACACCAGCCAACTACCCCGCCACTTACCCACCTGGGAAAGTGAGGGAATTCATCTGAGGGGACACAGATGGACTTCTGGACACACGGAACTAGGGAAAGTACCAAAACAACCGGGAGTGGGAAGTGTGGAAGGGTTGACATCCGGGGGCCCACGGATGGGGACCTGGAAGCATAAACCACACCTGACTATGACCACACCTGACTATGACCACACCTCACTATGACCACACCTCACTACAACCACACCTCACTACGACCACACATCACTGTATATGACCACACATCACTGTGTATGACCACTCCTGGGAATGCCTCTGAGGGGACACAGATAGACATCTGTAGACACGGAACTAAGGAATGCACTAAAACAACTGTAAGTGTTGACATCCGTGAGCTCACGGATGGAGACCTGGAAACATGAACCATATCTAACTATGACCACACCTCACTATGACTATGACATTACCTAAACTATGACCTCAATATGACTATGACACACCTCACTATACTTAGCTTTTCTCAAGTTTGTTGACAATGTAAAAATAAAATAACTGAAATCAACCTGCTTGTTTAAGAAACTTCGTTCGATGGTTTATAATTCACTCAAAAAAATTAACTATATTTGTAAACAAGAAAATAAACATAAAAACTAACATCATATATAACACATATAAACAGAACAAAAACAGATAATAATTACTGCAATAATTTAACTGTTTATTAACAACGTTGAAAAGACATAAGATAAATCAAGACATAATGTCAAATGAAAAAATATAATGTTATTTTTGCAGAGAAATTGGATAATTAAATTTGATTTTCCAATGTGGAACCTGTGGTTGTCGTTTGGTACATATATACTTAATTCGGGTAAATACACGGATAAACACACACAGATAAACACACACGGTTTCATCATAACTGAAAGGAGAGATTTTTGCTTAGTTCTTGATATTTGTTAAATAAGAAAAAAATTTTGCATATGTAAGAGGTTGAAAACGTAAAAAAGTTGGGAGAATTTT